AAATTAGTTTCAAAACCTGTAACTCGTTTTCTATGCGAAAAATTCTAATTTCTTTAATAATATAGTCTCATAATTGCTTTTCAATTCAAATAGTTTTAGTAGAAGATATACTTACATCCAGATCAGAAGTGAAGAAAATATTATTTTCAAACGAGGGAAATAAAGATTTTATATTTTCCCAATTTAGAATAATTTACATGTAATCGTCCTAGCTAATGTATTATTTCTCTATTTTCTTTATTTAACATATTTTAATTTTTCAAATATCATTGATGCCTTAAAAAGAGCAATACATTATCCAGGTATTCCATACGCAAGTACTTCCTGTTCTCGAAGAAAAAGCCAAATTGTTCTTTCTTCTCATATAACTGTATTATTTATTTAAAAGTGCTAATTACTTAATCAACCAAATTTGAGTCAAAAACCAGTTTTAATGAGAATTATTTTGTGAAAGGCGAGTACAGATTTGAAGCTGTTAGTGGTTCCAGATATTTAGGCTCTGAACAGAACACACTCATGACATAACCCCAGAGGTTCACAATAAAGTCACTGTTGGCGACAGATGTTTTTACGGACCTCAAAAATATTTCAAATCTAATTTCATCAGAAGAAAAACAAAACTACTCATTTACAAATCATTGATGAGACCCGTTCTCACATATGCTGCAGAAACTTGGGCAATGACCAAGAGCGACATCTCTTATTATATTTGAAGGAAGAGTCTTTAGAAGTATTTTTGAAGGTTCAAAATGTGTGATAATACTTAGAAAAGAAGAACCAATTTAGAAATTCATAAACATTTTTAAAAAACTAGATATTGTTTAATTCATTGCAATACAAAAGGTCATAATGTGCAGGACACCTGATAAGATTGGACGACAGTCGAGTCACGAAAAAGATCTTTGTGACCAGATTATATGGTACTCAAAAAAAGAAAGTCACGGGTGGATCGATTGCCTAGAAAAATGTCTGAAAACTATTAATGTCACAAATTTGAAAAATCAACCCAAAAACAGGACAGCCTGAAATGGAATTCTTAGGAAGGTCCACCTTAGGCTGTCGTGCCATTGAAGAAAAAAGGAAGGAAGGAATTACTTAATCACACTTTATTAATAGGAAAAAAGACAATTTTAACACTTTTTAAAATATCATTCTCTTAAAAAGCTATCTTTCAAAACTTTTGCAATTTATGAAATAAATTACCTTAAATCTCAACAAAAAGCAATTAAAAAACGATTTTATAATCTCAAAAGGAAAAACATGCATCGAGGGGGAAATTAATCTTGTATTTCAGATACTGACGGTTTTAATATAAATTCCACATCTATCAACCATATTGAGAAATATAGTACAACACATTTATTTCACAATATCGACGAAACTACATAAATTTGCATTTATATTACCACACACTACAGACAATTCTATCTTTCGGCGTAAAGAAACAAATCTCTCCTTGAAGAAATCTCCGAAAACACTTCTGCTATTATTTTTGTCTCAAATGAATTTTTGTTCCCCAGCAAATGAGATTTAACACCGATTTCTCTTTCTTCCTTTTGCGAAGAACAATAAAAATAGCTCTCATTTCGATTTGAATTTATGTGCAGACAGGCGATGCGTTAATTTCGTTTCGCTGCAGGCAATTTTGCTTTTGCAACAATTACTCTGTTTAATGAATCTTTGAGCCCATTAATCTCTTACCTCCAGTATCTTATGTTGAGAGAAAAAAATGGTTTCATTTTGTTCTTTATTTAATCATAAATTTAAACCGTGTTTAAAGAAAATTTTGCTTCGTCGAATTTATGTTTGGGATGCTTTTTTTTTTCATTCTAGTTTTTTAAAAGTATATGAAAACCAATTAGTATTCAAATGTAATTATTACGATGAAGTAGAAACCTTGAAAATGGTCATGTAGGTATGCGAGATTAGAAACACGAAATATAAGATTGTTGTTATTTTTGTTTTTATCGTTCTTTACAATGTTTCCATGTTTTAATAAAAGTGCTTGTTAAATATAAGTTGATAAGAGGGAAAAAAAGGATAATTAAATGTAAGAACATGATAAATTTGGTTTTTTAAAACAGATTATTTTTGAAAGTGATACTATGAAAATAATCATATGCTAAAAATATACAATTTTGAACAGTTCAAGCAAATAGCATTTCTCACGCAATAGTATTTAATTCTATGGTTTTACTAAATGTTTGGTAATAACAATTATTTATAACAACTAAATACACTTAAATGTAAGAACAATGCATAATTCTTGTTACATTGAGTATTGTAATAACTATTTAATCCCTTAACTGGCTTTTCCGTACACCGTGCGGGCTGCCGAAAACTGGCCTCAACCAGTTTTCCTGTATACAGTACGAGCACTGATGAGGTATGAACATGAAATTTTTTTGTATGCGAGAAATTATTTTAAGAAATATGACACATTATTCATAGCATGCAGAGTGTACTTATAAAAAGCAAACATTTAGGGGGGGGGCTGTGTTTCCCAATTATAAAATTTGCGTGAAGATCTTAAACTTGAAAATTAAAATAAAATTCTTCCATTTTATAGTAAAAAAATGTGCTTTTTTTAGAATATTTTGAACAAAAAAATTAGATGGGTTAAAGATGTGACAGTTGTAATCTAATAATAGTGTAACTCATAACAAAAAAAAGTTCATATAAATTAATTAAAAACAAAGAATAATTTTACTGGATTGAAAAAAATAAAAAAGTATATTGATTTGATTCGTAATATTTTCTCAGAAAATAACGGAAGAAATTTAAATAATTTAATATAATAATTACTTCAATGGTTAAGAAAGCTCAAAATGTATCTTTTGGGGGGGGTTTATTGTTTATAACTGTAGTACAAATATATAAATTGAAGTTGTTACTAAAAACATCATTAAGTACATCACTCAATTTTCATATACTTAAAAACACATTTCGTAATAAATATTGCAAGAAAAAAATTTCTTATCGCTTAAATACTGGAGGTATTAAGCCAGTTTATTATTTATATTTAAAAAAAGGAACAATAAAAGAAATATAATTTATAAAATATTGATCAAGGGATGTTCATTAAACTTTTCAATTAATTATTTTTTTAATCGCAAAGTCACACATTTAAGCTAAACGAGGGCTATTCGCAACTCGAATTACGTTTTGAACCGCGGTCAAGTGAATCTGAAGACACCTGGGCTATTATCTCATACTCCTATTATATATACTCCGAACTCCGCACCAAGCCAACGTGCGAACTTCAAACGTCGTGCATCAGCCCCTCTGTATGGCACTAAGACTAGAATCCATGATTCAATGAAACAACGCCGGCCACGAAATCATGGTCATTCGGATAACGCGGTTCTAAAGTGAGTCTATTATTTAAATGAGAAGTTAAATATGAAAATGCATGTTTTCTTATGAAAAATGAGTTAAAAGCAAACTTATTGTGAATTTGATTTTTGATTATAAGGTAAGTTAATAATTTATATTTCACATTTAATGTGAAAAACTTATAAGCTATACGCAAAATTTAAACATTCAGGTATTCTTACCACGTAATTGCTCATGTTACTATAAAATTGAGGAACAAAAAAGTTTGTAAGTTTTTGGTATTAAACTAAATTAACTTTCCTTCGTGGTTGAGAATTTCTAAGAACCAACTTGATATCAGTTTTCTAATATTGATTCAATATCAAAGGCTGCTTATTACCCTAAAGTATGAGAAGTAAAAGAAAAGAATCCATTTTTTTTTTAATTTGCTGTGGGGACAGAAGAAGTATTAAGAAATTCTATTTTCCCCATATAAAACAATTTTGTCTCAAGTATTTATCAAACTTTTTTAAAGAGAAAATATAAAGAATAGGTGACAACATTTTACGAAATTTTTGTATATATTTGCTTACTTCTAATTCAATGTATGTTTTTAAATGTGTGTAATTGTGTATGCAATATATTGTATGTAGTTAAGAATTACGCATAATTTTTGCTTATTCCCCACATAATTTCTTTGTTGATTACTGCATATAAAAATAGTGAGATTTTTGTTTCTCATATTTTATTTCAAAAACTTTCTTTACGAAGAAACGCATCCTTAATCAAAAAGGTTACAATTTTGAACAGTTTCTCACATTATAGGAAACAAGTAATATAAAAAGAAAAATTTAAGTCGATTCCTACTTAGATTAACAAAGAAAAATTTTATTTTAGCTACTTTTTATTATAAATAGTTACAATTAATATAAATATGTATATACATAAGACAGTATCACGGCATTAAGTGGTAATTACTTTTTATTAATTACCATTAAAGTATCGTATTGTTATCCAAAACAATCGTGTATATAAAATTTCAGTTCAAATGAATGTTTTACAACGGGAAAAAAATAACCTTTTCAAATTTTGACACAAGTCGCCAACGTGGCTGCGTTTGTAATTTTTTAAATAATTAGTTTTAATCAATTAATTTTTATTAATTATAATTAAATTATTGTATTTTCATCCAAATAATCATGTAAATAAAATTTCGGCTCATTTGAAATGTATTTTATTAATGATTGAAAATTCCACCAAGATAAATAAATAAATTAATATATAGAGAGTATGAGCTATAATAGTAGGAATTGAAAAAAGGTTCCAAAATTAATTTTATATTTGTCATTTTAAACAAAACTTAAGTAGTTAGTAAAAAATTACTAACAAGTAATATCAAAAAAAGAATTTGAGTCAATTTCTACTTAGGTCAACAAAAAAAAAATATCTTATTTTAGTTATTTTTTATTAAATAATTACAATTAATATAAATATCTATATACATATGACAGAATCACAGTATTAAGTGGCAAAATAAAAAGCGTTTTTCTTTTCAATTTTCCATTTACTTTCTATATATAGTGTTGGACTATTATTTTTGTTTGTTTCTATTACCTCATTAATTAAATTTAACTATTCCAATAAAAGAGTATGGTAAAAAGAAAACACATTCTCAGAAGTTAGGCAATCCTAGGTGGGATTAGAACCCACGACATTTGAATCAGAAATCCAACGCGCTAACCACTGCACTACAGAGACACAACGAACAATTTTCCTTTTTATATATGGTGTTGGACTATTATTTTTGCTAATTACTATTTATTCATTAATTTAATTTAATTAATTAATTAATATTTGAAAAAACTGTATTAACATCAAGTGCCATCCACTGCAAGTTTAAAAAATATACTTGAACTAGAATAGATGAATAGAAAGTATTGTATTAACGATTGAAAGTTTGAACAAGATATATATATATATATATATAGGGAGACAGTGAATTAATAGTAGGAATAGAAAAAAGGTTGGTTCCAAAATTAATTTTATAGTAGTCATTTTAAACAAAAATTTAAATACAGTTGAACGTCTATATAACGAACCTCTATATTGTGAATTTTTCTATGTAGCGAACTTTTTCCTGGAACCTTGAGCATTTCACTATTTTCTTTGAAAAATAACCTCTGTATAGCGAAGTGCATTTTCTATATAACGAACTTAGTAATTCAATTTTTTTTCTCCCTCTTTTTAAAGTATTTCTGAACATTTCAAGTTATTTTCTCTTTAACGCATTTTATAGTGGTCATAAATCTTCAACTGGTTTTATTAGATCCTAACTGGCCGAGAGCAATAGAGTTCTGGACGTTTCATCTAAGAAGTGCAACCCTTAACCCCCTATGTCCAGTTCACTAGAAACATCTTCAATATCCCCTTTCACACTCAGTGGAGTTGTTCCATGTTCTAGTTAGAAAATAATGTATGTTTAATATTACTTGTATGCGTTCTTTGAAAATTTCTTTAAACTTCATTTAATATAAAATTATTTTCTTAATATTGAAAATACCGTGTATTTATTCTTCGACATTCTTTTTTCTTGTTTTCCTTTCTTTCTCTCTCTCTCTCTCCCTCATTTTTTTTATTTGATGGTTAAGGTATATAAAATAAACATATAATAATTGTAAAATAGGTGTGAATAATTACTTTTTTTAATATGTAGTGCTTATGAATTACAATTTTTTTTAATGAAACTTTTTGTTTTTTGTGTGTAGTATATTAAAAGATAAACCTCTCTATAACGAACTTTTTTCCGGGATTTAGCGACTTCGTTATACAGAGGTCCGTCTGTAGTTTGTAAATTATTCCTAAAAAGTATAGTTAGTAACTCTCTTTCCCCTCTTTTTCTCTCTAAGATTTGAAAGCAACGGATATATATATTTTTTTAATTTCTAAGAAAAAACACAAACAAATCAGCTTTATAATATCCAGAATTTTTCAGAAGCTAATGAAAGAAGACAGTCATATCCAAGAAGGGGACGTAATTAATGCGGTCATTGATCTTCCCCCGAAGAACAAGCAAAAGATAGACTTCAACACAAGATCTGTCTCTTGACGGATTAGATGAGACCATCTAATTGCGGTCGAACGCAGTAATTAATGAAGACAGGCGGGAGCACCACGATTCAGACTTGGCCAGACTTTCCACCAACTCTTTTGTCTCCAATGACATCACATTTGTCCCACAGGTCTACCCAATAAATAAAATTCCGCTATCGCGAATAAAAGTCTTTTGGAGAAGGAACCCGGCGTGTTGTTATAGATGGAACAACATGGTTTATTCTCTCTTGCACGAAGTTCTTCGACTGGAAGGCCTTTGCTTAAAAGTATTCGAATTTCGAAAAGTAGCGGTGCAGGAAATTGGCTATAAATTCCTTCTAGGAAAGCTTTCAGAACTGGAGAGACGTAATAAACGTTACGGACTGTCTGAGGGTTTCTTCTTCTTTATTTCTTACTTTTTCTTCCTCGTCAGAAAGTTTCGTAAAAGATATCGCACTTTGATATGTTTTCCGGAAACTCTAAAATGCGTTCTCGTGAAAGTTTCGCATCTACCGCGACTATAATGGGGACGACAAACTTGCCGAGCATTCCTGTCGGCTTTTTGGATCAGAATTTCATGCGTTTGAGTGTCGATGTTTATATTTACGACGTTTTCTGAGCTACATATTTCAGGATAAAATGACGTCTGGACAGGAAAAGAAACAATTTTTAAGTATGGATAGGGATGTGTTTGAAAGATTTTTCTCTTTTGTGTCTTGTACGGAAGAATAATTTCAAAAAAAGGAATACTTTATATATATATATATATAATGCTCTCTTGCGAAAAGTTTAGTAATGTATTTGTATTAAGAACTTTTAATATTATTCTATATATTTAATATTATGTTTTTCCTTTAATAATATCGCATAAATAAATATGAAATATTTATTAAGGTATCCGACTACGTTCGGAAACGTGATTTTAAAAGTGCATAAATAGATAAATTTTCATGATATTTAGTTTTACTTAGATAAGAATACATGTATAAAATTGTTTTAAAGACATTTTGACAAAAAAAATTATTTAAATACAATATTTCGCCAAAAAATTAACAGAATAAACGTTTTTCAAAACGTTCTTCTTTTGTGAGAAAAGTGCTTCGATTATAATAATATTTTGCCTGTATATATCTCAGACCTCTGTAAAGAGGCTCAACTATGATGTTTGAAAAATTCACATTTTCAGTTACAATCAATTGAAATAATTAACGGGTTTTTTTTTCTTAAAATTTCTCCCCTCTGTTGTCGTAAAACATGGATAAACCCACTTCTAAGTTATATATTTCAAAAATTCTGGTTGAGCCTCTGTACAGAGGTCTGAGCTATATACAGGCGAAATATAATAGAAGCATTTTTCACAAAAGGAGAATATTTTGAAAATGGGTCACTCTATGTTCATTTTTTGTCAAAATAGTGTATTTAAATAATTTTTTTATTATAATACTATTCTTAAAACAATTTTATGTATATTTTCTAATCTAAGTGACACTAAATATCATAAATATTATCCATTTACACGCTTTTGCAAAATCACGGTTCCGAACGTAGTCGGATACCTTAAGAGTATGTTGTTTTCATTATTATATTATGTTAAGAATAGTATATTTACTAAGAACAGAGCAAATTATTCTGAATGTATCATAATAATTCTAAATATCAGACGTTAAAAATTTAATGGATGGTTAATTTTTAGAGAGTTTGATTATATTTTAAAAACTAAAATCAAATATGTGGAACAAATCTTTATTGCAAAAGTTAACTTAAAGTTAAAGGAATATTTAAACTTCAATCCACAATAAAAAAAATTCAATACTTAGTTTTAGGGATCTTTTTATAGAAACATTGCAAGAATTCTATTAAGAATAATTTTAAAACATATGTGTCATTATATCTTTTGTTTTTTAAGAGTTTTTACATGTTGTTTTAAGCTTTCAGGAAATGATATTGTATGTTCGAAATATATAAAAAATAAATTGCATCGTTCATATAATTTTTGAAAAGATTGAATGTCTGCATCAACCTATAATAGATATACAATTTATAATACGAATATGAATGAAGAAAAACAAATATCTAATTATAAAATATAGAAATAGAACTTGAAGAATAGGAACATTTTAAAAGCTTCTAATACATGTAATTTTTTTTAATCAAAAAATGTTTTAGTTATAATTATTCAGTTTCTAATAAAATAATTAAAAGATAATTTAGAATAAAGTAAAAGAAATAAAGATCACATAAAGATTTTTTGTGAAATTATTAAATTGTATCCTTTTTTTATAATTTTGGTTTCCAAAAACAAAACTCAATCATTCTGATAGTATAATTGCCTAGTACAATTGTCATTCAAATAGTTCTATTTAAAAGTTAGTTGCGTTTGTTAGCATCAAATTAATATTATACTTAAGAATTTTAGGACTTTTGAAAAATACGTTTACTTAAAAGATCCCTTATGTAATTAATGTCTTAGGTACAACTTTATAGTTGTTTTATTTTAAAAAAAGGCAAAATTTTAGGGCATATATAAAAGACATATATATATATATATATATATAAGAGATCACATAAGCTTCTGTATTTTATGTAAAGATAATTCATCTGTTTGCAAAATCGACTAAGTTAGCAATTTGTAATCATGTTCTTATAGCTTCAATTAACTTCAAAGTTGAAAAACTAAAATAATAACCATTTAACTCAAAAAGAAATTTTAAAATCAAAAAATAAAATTTTAATTAGCAAAAAAAAAAAAACTTTCAATTGTCCTAAAACGAATATTTTTTTTAAATAAATTATTCTATAGCTTAATGTTTTTGTCCAAAATTTCTATGATTACACTAGTATCTATTTCCAGCACAATGGACAAATATGTTCATTGGATTTTATTTTTAACATTTTAAAACGCGTTAAGCTATATTGATTCCATTTCTAATATTTTTGGAGTAGGTGCAAATTAAATTATATGACACATCCTTCAGATTTCGAATAAAATACTTTATTTTTAATTTTAATAAAATATCTTACTGTGTATTTGAGAAGCAATGGTTCCTTTTAAAATTCACACACATAAAGTTTTATTAAAATTAAATAGAATTAGAAGAATTAGAGAAATAATTAGAGAAACAACTGCACAGAAAAATGGAAAAGATGTATGCCTGTATATTTTAGAAGTTATCATGAAAAATATCAGTCGAAGTATTTTTATAATATGTTAACTATAAGATTTGATTGAATAATTCAGTTATTAAAGTTATGGTATCCGACTACGTTCGGAACCGTGATTTTAAAAAGGCGCATAAATGGATAACTGTCATAATATTTAGTGTCACTTAGATTAAAATACATGTATAAAATTATTTTAAGGACATTTTGTCAAAAAAAAAATTATTTAAATACAATATTTTGGCAAAAAATTAACTTAGAATAATTTTTTTCCAAATGTTCTCCTTTTGTGAAAAATGCTACTATTATAATAATATTTTGCCTGTATATAGCTCAAACCTCTCTACAGAGGCTCAACTGGAATTTTTGGAAAATTCACATTATTTTCAGAGTTACCACCAATTTAAATAATTATTAGAGTTTTTTTTCTTAAAATTGTTCCTCTCTGTTGTCAAAAATATGGATAAACCCTATTCTAAGTTATATATTTCAAAATTTCTAGTTGAGCC